GTAAATGACTCTAATTTAAAAATACCAATAACAGCAGGGGCTTCTAAAATAATGCTCCAAAAAATGTCAAACCCATACCAAACTAACTAGAGCAGGGAAAATTGTTTGATAATTATTTTTAAATTTGATAATTAAAACCTTGTAGATTTCCATTTTTTAATAAAAAAGGACAATAGTTTGCTCGACCTTGAAAATAAAAACAATTATGGACTAAAACCAGGAGTGATGCCTAAATTCAAGCAACCCAAATACCTAGTTTGGACCAACCCAGTATCAATGGTCGAGTTAGAACCTTGAGAATCATTATCGCACAAGTTTCTTTTAGCATAAACAGTACTGCTGGGTTTTTTTGGGAACCCAGATGTCATTCATTACCAAGGTTGCATTTTTCACATGATTTATTCACAAACGGCAAAAACAAAGAGACCCGTGATAAGAATCTGGCCCATCAGCCCAAGGTGACTTTAATTTTATTCATCATCACAAAAACTAAAACAGTGGAACTTTGTGAGAATCTGTTTAGTACTGCAGAGCTTCCTGCAGACAATATTTCAAAATTGCAAAAAAAAAAAAAAAAAAACACTAGAGAAGCGTGAAGATTTTATTGTCAAATGTTCATTTTATTGATGAACCGTGAAATTTTTAAAAGAGAAACATAAGTTCTTTTGAGTTAGAGCTGCCTTATAGTGGCACATACATTTGTAATGCTATCTATGATTGTTAGTTGGAGTGGAATCGACAAGAGTGTCTACAAACACTTTGAACAATGATAATAACAAGGTCGCACTCGGCTTATTTTAAGCTTGAGTGCCCACAAGCACTTTGAACAACGAAAATAACGAGGTGGATCACAAGTTATTTTATGCTTGAATCTACTTCTATCAATCATAATATTTTTAGTCATTATGCAGAAAGAGACAACAACTACAAATGGTTGTCACTTGATTTTGCTTAAGTTGAGAATTGAAATAAAAGAAAATTTGAAAGATGTTAACAATTATCTAGATGATTTCTAGTATTTATCCTGAAATATTTTTCTTTCATTATGATGCACGAGAAAAGCTTTTAATGGAAAATATTTATCTAAGGGAAGAATAAATGAGGAATATAGCTCTTGGAATAAAATGAAAATTAGAACCAAATTTAATAGGACTTAGGAATGGATTTCAACCTAATCTAGCCAAACACGTAAAAATAGCATGAAAAATCCACAGATTCCATAAATCCAAATTTCTTACCTTTTCGCGCGAAACCACAAATTTCCTAAATTCGCATCTTCCACGGATTTAACGGATTACAAATAACGCAAAGGGAACACCCATGGTACCCGTGCCGCCATCGTTATTGTTGAGCTTCGTCTTCGGACTATTTAGGGCAACCAGTCACTCCATTGTCGAAGCCAATTCCGATCAAATTGAGGCAACGTCGACCAGTGCTTTTATCATCTTCGTGTAGCAGGTTAGCACACTGTTTTATTCCTTTTTTTTTTTCCTCAACTTGTTGCTGCATCAATCTCTCTCTTATCGATGGTCATTTTTCCCATGAACTAACTCCTTCACGCCTCCATTCGTGAACCACCCAAGCAATCGCGGCCCATGCCTGAGGGGGAATTTAGTATTTGTGAAACAGTACTTTATGCATTCTGTTTTGATCCACCTTTTGATTATTGCCAATTAATATTAGATTAACCACTTACTTTAGAGGTGATGCTAAATGAAATAATTATACTAGTCAAGGCTTAGAAGCGTGATAATGGTATTCCACAGTATTTTATCATAACTTAGAAGGTATCTTGATTTTTTAACTTGGTTGATCAGTATGAGGATTTTTATGTATTAAATAGATTTATCTAATTATTTTTCATAGATGCGAGACAAGGGTATTAGATGAATGCACATGTGTTTTTTTTAAATATTTCATATAGAAGAACAATCTGTTGGTTCCAATTTAATGGATCGCTAAAGGACAAATCGAAAAATGAGATTGGACTTTTGGGAATTCTCTTTTTATTATTTTTGAAGGAGTGGAAAGATACAAGTCTGGGGTGTTTTACAATGCAACACAACACCCAATTTATACTAACTAAGACATACCGAGACAAAAAAAGAAAC